ACAGGGTTGGGTACGCTCTGGCCCTCCAGCTGTGGTGAAATTACTCTGGCTTTCAAAGGAAGCAGCTGATGAGGGGTTAACTGTTGCTTTGGCATTTGGGTGCCACACCGGTGTCTCTGCTCCTAGTGCTTTGATAGGCTCTTATTGTCAGACTAATAAATGGCTTTGTCTGCTGGATGGGTACATCTTGAATAGAGCTGGCAGTGCCTGTGAATGGCTGCTGGCCTTCCTCCTTATTCTGTCATTTACATTCCAAATATAACTTTCAGTTCAAATCCGCTAAATGTGTTCACAGGGCATAAAACCAAAGACGTGTAAGGTCTTAGACTCGCCGTACACCTTTCCATGTAACTGGACAATCCATGTTAGATTTACAATGAGGACCAACCTAAACTATGCAATCAATCTGTAGGCCCTCAAGACAGGCCCGGCACTACATAGTTGTTGGTTAGAGGAGATTGTACGATGAGCTTTACAGTTTATTTTCTTTAGAAAGAAGCCGTATCCGGAGTAGAAAAACCTTTTCCCTGCCAGCATGCTGTAGAGAAGGGCCTTTGCCCTTTGTGGAAGCAGTGGTCTCTCTGCAGAGGTCTGATACTCCTGACCTATAGCTCTTCAGTTTAGAGCTGCAACAGTTAATTGATTATGTTGATTAAAATCGACGATGGAAAACGTTAACGTTTTCCAGCATCCCAGCAATAGTACACTATACAGCGCAACGCAGAACACCAGCTACAGAGAACTACAAATCCCAGCAATAATCCATTGTATAATGTACTATTGCTGTGATTTGCTGTATTCCTCTATAGCTGCTGGTATTGTACACCACACTTTTTTTTTTATTTCCACCGCTCCCGTGATGGACTACAATCTCAATACAAACTAGTAGTCCATCACTGGAGCCATTTTTTAAATCCGATTAATCGAACTTAATAATCGGCTAACCGATTATGGAAATAATCGTTAGCTGCAGCCCTACTTCAGTTACCAAAGCTCAATCTCTCTGCTGATTTCAAATGCTCCTGCTCTGACCCCATAAGGGGTGTGTTAGACCTCTACAGAGAGACCACTGCTTCCTCGCAGAGCGCAGCTCCTTTTCTGCAGGGGGCGGGCTTTTCTGCTCAGGAAATGGCTGCCTTATCACGCAAATGAACTGTAAGGCTCTGCAGTCTTTTGTAATGACACGCCTGGAATGTTTAGCTGGTTTAGGCTGACAGTTCAGCCGGGTTTTAAAGCCATACTCTGAGCAGTATAATTTACACACCTAGTGCGGCTGGAAAACCTCAGATTGTACAATCAGATTGTAATGTGGGTACAAGTTCACATAGCCCAACCTACATAGCCTTCCAATATAATCTTACATACAAGTCACTTTAATTCAGATGCTTGCTTGTGTCTGCCTGTCGGGTGGTCTCCTCTGGTGTTTACCCTCCTCCTGTCTAAAATCTTTGACTGTTTGAGCTTGCAGTCCCCATAGACTTGAATTGGGCTGTACCCCTAGAGTAGATCTCCTCAGGCATGACCAGCATCAGAATCTTTCAAGACAATGGATACCTCTGCATTACATCTGGTGGGTTCTTTTTCCAGGTCCCCTTTGGCTAGTTCAAGCCAAAGGTTGAGGGGGGCCACTGCATTAAACCTGGTGGTTTCTTTTTCCAAATGCTGTTGGCATTCACTTGGCATTACTGCTCCCTTTCCAGATCTGAGACTTAACAGGATAGGTAGCCATAAGCAGATTGACCAGTGACCATCATATTGGGAACTTTGTGGTGTGGGTCACATGTTGTGTTATTTTTTGCAGCTCTAGGCCTCTTCCCATTGCACAAATCTGGTGCTCCCCTCTGGTAAAGGTCCCCCCTAATCCACTGATGCTCAGCCATTCTTCCACAGCCTCAGATGCCAAAATACTCATTGCTTCCAGGTATGGGGGAGCTTGTGACCTCCTCATGTGACAAAGCTTGAGTCTAGCAACCAGTTTCTAGTTCTGCGCATGTCACATGACCGAGTTATGTCATAGGTCTCCAGGAATACTGGCGACAACTGTGATGGAGGAAGACGTTGGGGCAACGCTGGCACAGTAAAGTATCAGCAGGTTGGGGAGTCTCTTTACAAAGACCATGTCTCTTTGACCGTGATTGGCTTAGCGGCACACAGATTAATTTGTCTCTGAACTCTCTTCTAATGCAATGAGCACTGTAAAGGCATCACAGGAAGCTAGTATAAATATACATGCAAATATTTGTAAATGCATGCATTTTAAATGGTGTGTGTATATTGATGTGTTCCTGGATTAAAGGGAGTCTTTAATGTTTGATTTAATTAGGAAGGTACATTTATGTCAGAAAATCACTGGGAGTGATAACTGTCTCTTTTGGTTGATGACTTCACACCCTAATTACCACTAGCTGTGCTTGTTTGGCTGCATCACTGTAGAAAATCCTGCTACATATGGCTGGACTGTGACCAAATGTGTTTAAAGATCGGGTTGCTCATGCTGAGTCAGGTCATAGCCTAATCTTGGTCTATGAGTGGCTTAATGAAATCACTCGCTCGTTCACCCTCCTCGTGTCTTTTTATGGTATTTTCAGCCCTTTAGTTGCCTTTTTTTGTATGCTTTTGTCTAGTTATTCCTCTAAATTGAATGGAGTTGCAATGTTTAGTAAAAATCCAGTGTTCCTCAACATTGTAAATAGATATTGTAACCAATGGATATATTGTATCCATATATTTTAACACCCTCCCTAACCCCCTATTCTAACCTAGAACTCTTCCATCACTCGCCTCTCCATGACAGGACGGCCTCCTCTGATGTTTACCCTCCTGGCCTTTACTCGCCTCTGGGTTAAAGTGGAACTTTACCCACATCTTTAAAATAACAACAAACACACCTTCAGAAATGTTAAGTAATGGAAATCTACAAACACCTACTTCTAGATAGTTGGCGGCTTTATATTCTGTGCATATCTTATTTCTCTTTTCTTCCCCAGTCTTCTGACAGTG